ACTGTGATACACAACGGTTTGCACTGCTATGCCCTGTTTTTTGCATCGTGCGGTCCGGCACGGTGAAGTTTGCAGCTGTAGTGTCGGCTTGGCACATCTACACACTGCTTCTGAGACCTATCGTGCTATAAAACCTATTGTGACATATTGTAACCCCTTAGATACTATAGTTCTCCCTGTGCCTGCCCATTCTGTGTGAAACGAAGGGCCTAACAGCATCGGTGCCCTGCAGCTCGGAAAAACACCCTACTTATTTCCTAACATATTAGGTATGGATATCTGTGTGCACACAACACATACATACAACATCTAAAACCTGGCTGCAGGCACACCCTGTGCTTGCCGCTTGCCCTTCAGGGGCCCTTCAGAGGATCCTCTCGCCCAAAGACAGAAGTCGGTTGAACGCCACCACCCTCTGATCTGAGGATTCGCCCCCCTCGCTCTGGTGGCTCTGGCCCTGCCGACTCTGTCTCTGGCGACTCTCCTGGCGGCGCCGGGAGTGCTTGGATCTGCTGCGGCCCCGGCCTCGGCTGCGGGAGTCCAACCGCTGCCTCTGCACGGAGACAGACGGGACATCGATGACATCCCGGCCACGGCGGGGCACTATCACCACAGCGCCCCGGCTCCGTCGCTCGCGCGAGCTTCCCCTCGATCTCGGCGGCGAGGCTACCGAGGCATTGCTTGGCCTGGAGGCCTCGCTTCGGACGCTTCGCCTCGATAGCCCGCCTCGCCTCGACACCTCGGACCAGGAGCATGGCCGTGCCCTTTCCTTTTCATCATTCTTGTCCCGGTGATCCTTCTTCTTCTCTTTCTTCTTGTTTTTCCGCTCCTTTGGCTCCTGCGGAGGCTCACTGGGCTCTGCCGGCTTTTTGGCGCCGCAGCCGTACTCGTGCTGCTCGCGGTCTGGCGCCTTAAAGAACGCCTTGCCGCAGAAGCGGCAAGGGAACTTTGCTGGCGGGGGTTCCAATCCCCGCAGCTTTTGCTGCCATGACATGCAGCCGCTGTTCGATGTTATGTGCATGAACAGCGTGCTTCTTGGCTTGATTGCCCAACATATTGGGCACCGCACCTTCTCCTCCACCCATTGTCCTTGCTTCGTATATCCTGCCGGCTTCACCGTCTCCAACTCGGCGATCTTGAAAGCATGGACCGCCCCATAGGGCCCCCATGTCTTCTTCTCCTCTTCGTCATCATCCCCGGCCCCGGTGCCGGTGAGGCCGGTGCCCTCATCATGGCCGCCCTGCTTCAGCAGGGCATCAAAAGGGGAAGTCTTCCTATTCTCCTTTTTATCTTTCTCTTTTTTATCTTTCTTCTCTCTCTTTGCCCGTCGGCTGCGGCTCCGGCCCCGGGAGTGCGACTTGCTCTTGGATTTCCCATAGTCTGCCGAGCCATCGCTCTTCTCCTCGCTGCCGCTCCCGGACTTTTCCTCGGACTTTTCCTCGGATTTCTCCTCGGACTTGTCCTCGGACTTTTCCTCGGATTTCTCCTCGGACTTGTCCGAGGAATTGGACTTGCCCGCCGGCTTGTCCTTTTCTGAATCCGAGCTCTCTTCTCGCGGCTTGGGGCCCTGCTTCGGCTCCGGCATCGGCTTCAATCGGCCTGGCGGCAAGGCACTCAAAAACAAAACTGTCAATCCTAACATACCCCAACACCCCATCCCTCACCCTCATCCCTCAGCCCTTTCCTGGACTCACCGCCTGCATGCCTTAAGTACCGTCGGGGCCTGCAAGTCGAGAAAGACTCCGGCCCTCCGACAGCACCAAGGCACCGACTGCATGAGTATTTCTTGCTCGCCGCCACGTTGGGCTGCACGAGCCTCTCTTCTTGCTCGCCGCCACGTCGGGCTGCACGAGCCTTTCTTCTTGCTCGCCGCCCCGTCGGGGCTGCACGCGCCTTTCTTCTTGCTCGCCGCCCCGTCGGGGCTGCACGAGCCTTTCTTCTTGCTCGCCGCCACGTTGGCTGCACGAGCCCTGCTTGAACTTGCTTGCTCGCCGCCACGTCTGGCTGCACGAGCTGCTTTCTCTACCCTGGAAAAAACATCCAAAACTCCCGCCCTAACCCTCTTTACAGTAAAGGTCCCACAGCGGCCCCGCCTCCACGCAGGAACAGCTGCAGCATGGAGGCTCCAAAAAAGCTGCGGAAACGGCAACAGCGGCAACAGAACCATCAAGCACTGCTCTGCCAAACAACTCTCACTGACATGCTGATGTGCTGTGCAGGCAAGACATGAAAACTGAAATCGATCGTTCATCTGCTGTGCTCAGAAATCAGAATCGAACATCACATTACGGGCATGCAACTGTCCATCAACTTTTTGTGCAACATATAAAGACAAGCTGCTGCAACATGCTGCAACGATCTGCACAAAGTAGAAAAATTTCCTTCATCATGCGAATTGGTTCACGCACCCAGCCGCTGCCTCTCTTTCATTCGGGACACAGAAGCGGGGTCTGGGTTGAATGCAACATGCTGGCGGGTGTCCTCGAATCTGTGTCCCTCTTGGCACCAAACCAGAAGCCAGGCCACACAAGTGGCCTGGTCACAATGGCTCTTGAGGAAGCTGTATCGCCGGCACTTCGCATGCCGTGTGCATTGTATGAATCCTCGTCTATGACCGGATGAATGACTCCAGTTATCAAAGTGGACTGTCAAGTCCGCCATTCCCGGAACACGGCACGGAACGGCAGGCAGACTGGGCAGGTCCAAAGAAAGCCGCAAGATGCCCTGCTCGGGTCTCGCAGCACTCTGTCCGTGTGCTGGCCTTTTCCGCTTTCTCTCGAAAGCAAACTCCTTGCATTGCTTTAAACTGAAGTCATTCACAGCAGAGAGAGTAGTTTCTTTCAGAAGCATCTCATAATAGGCAACACTGCCTGAGTGGGAGATCTTGAGCAAGCCCTTTTCCCACAGGCTGACATGAAAACACAAGGCTTTCAAGTGCATTTCTGGCCTGTCCAAGAGACCTGAGGGCAAGTTCAGGGCCTGCCCTCGGTTGTGCCAATCACCGGTCGCAGCAGCTTTCCATCCATCCTGCAACAGCATCTTCAACCACGCAAGTTTATTCCTGCCGGGGCCATTGTTCATGACCGTCTCTTCTTGGCAAAGCGGTGTTGGGTCTCGGAGAGCCAAGCGACTGGTGACCTTGGTGGCCTCGCTCAATGCTACAGTGACTGCTCCAAAATCGTCCACGCGAGCCTGGACAAGTCCCTTGTCTACAAGGCTCCTGCATGCATCCGCATTGTAATGCGGAAGCTGAATGACATCAACAAAGTTTTCACCCAGTGCACGCCTTTCAAGAAGACCCTGCAACAAGGATTGCTGGTTGTCTGGGAGAATGCCAGCTTCGGCTTGCGGCCCTGCTGCTGCATGCTGAAGCGACACAACTCCATCCTCACGTGCCAGATCATCCAGCATGTCATCGTCTGTGACGAAGGCAGGCAATCTGAGCGCCGCAGAAGGGCCGTCGTGCACAAGGGCATCTGAAGACCCTGCCTGGGGCATGATCTGCACTTTAACCGAAGTTGCCTTTGCCGTCCAAACACGCAGTTCCGAGGACAACAACTTCAGCATGGCCGGAGTTGCTACCTTTGCGAAATCCAACGTGTGTTGCATTGTGTTGCTGTACAACACATGAGGCACGGCCGGCTGTTGCAGATCAACAGCAGTGAAGCGGAGCACATGCACAAAACCCTTGTGGCTTTCTTGAGCCAGGGCCTTGTTCTGTGTTCTTCTCTCAGGCCTCGCATCCACCACATAGCCGTAGATCAAGTCCTCGGCAGATACGTCTGGATTGTCCTCGGGCAGCAAAGCCTCAGCAAAACTTTCCAAATCCAAACATATCTCTGGATGCACAGCCTCAGAGTCCTCTGAGGGGGGCCCTGCCAACATGGCCCGGAAAAGGCCTTCAGGCAAGCTGAACAAGATGCCACTCTGCAATTGGGACTTCAGGTAGTCTACTATCATCCACTGTTTTTTCTCCAAAGTCTTGACTCCTGATGCATCGTCCTCAGCCGCATCCTGGAGTGCCAGCTGTGTTCTATCCTGCAAGGCTTTCGCAGCTGCTTCTTCATCAGCCTGGTGGTCGAGAAAATGGTCTTCTTCGTGATAGCCGTAGATGCGAGCAACTCGGTAGCTGCGGGGCTTGGTCATGCATTCGGCCTTGGGCATGATGTGCGAAAGCAGTTCCAGGTCCAGCCCTTTGGAACCCCAGTTGGCTTCCAAGAAACTACACTCCTTAGGAGTGTCGATCATACTCTGCAGCTGGCTCCTGCGGGCCCGTGCACATGTCATTGCTGGCCCAGCATGTCGAAGTGTCCTCCGGCAAGCTATTTTGATCAGCACGTGCTGTCGCTCTGTGCTTCGTTCCGCCATGGGGCAGAACGAGCGATCTTGGATTTCAGCAAATGCCAGGGGAAAGTCCTCCAGCACCTTGTCCGCGGGGCTTTCGCAAAAGCTCCATAACTGCTCAGCCAATCCTGCATCTCCTTTTCTGTGAAACAAACTCTCAAGCAGTTCCGTGGTTCGACCCTGCCCCCGGAGAGACTCGTACTGAGTGAAACACTCTCGAACAGCATCTTTGGATTGTTGCAAAGAATACAGGTCTGGTCTTGCATGATGGGCAAACCCGGCCGCAAGCAGATGAGGAACATGACCTAGATAGTCCAGTTTTCCCTTGACAATGGAAGCCCATTTGTCACGGGCTTTCTGGTCCATCAAGGCCATTGCAGCACCCACCTCGTCTGGAAGCTCCAGGAGCACCTCTGTGAGCGAGGCGCTAGCCAAACGATAGACCGAGTTGGTGATCTCATCCCTGTAGCCTGCACAGAGCACACAAGATCGTTTGCCTTTCCACGGGCACTTGATCGTGGTCCGAGTCCGAGAGGACTTGTTCTCCAGCAGTTCCTTCTCGTGGCAAAAACAACCCTCAAACCAATGTGCCCAACCTTGGACAAAGCAAGCAAACATGAAGGCCCAATGCACATATGCAAGATGGAAAGGATCTTTCAGAGCAGCATCGACCATGTCGCACAAAGCAGCATCGGACAAAGAGAACGATCCCAATGCTCCAACAGAATCGGCCTGACCTCCAAGTAGTTCTTCAACGTTACATGGAGACTCTCCCACCGCCAGGACAGCAGTTCACCATGGTATCGTTGAACAATCCGCCTGTGCTCTCCGCTGGCATGCTTCAGCATGACTGAAACCACGATCTCCTTATAGCTTCTGTTCGTCAAAAGCTTCGAGACGGCAGACACCTGCTTTTCGACTGCATCCCACCTTGGGCACCCTTTGCAGCACTCTTCAAGTGAATTGAAGAGCACGTGGATGATCCCTGGATGCTTCAGGCTGTTGAAAAGGAAGGCTTCACTTGTGCCAGCAGCCAGGTTTTCTAGGGTGGCCTCCTCCTTCAAGGATGCTGCTAAGGATTTCATGGCAGCCTCGTCGCCTATGGGCCATTCCGGTATCAATCGCTCCGTTCCTTGATCTGAAACCCAGCCCTTCACTTGTTTCCTGTAAAGCTGGAAATGAGGCTCTCCAGCCTCCAGGATTATTGCAGACTTCAACCTTTGGGCCTTGACAAATGTCCTGGCCTCTCCTCTGGCCAAAGTCATGACAGGCATTAACCTAAATTCGTGTGAGAAACCTTTAAATGGGTCTGCCGGTGGCATGAACGGCAACTTTCTCACAAGAACTTCCTCTGTCATTGCCAAGTATTCGTACCCCCCTTGGGGGCTGGCATCCATGCTCAAGAATCTGCTGACAGACGTGTGAGAACAGAGGGCTTGCTCTGCCATCAGACATCTTCTGTGGTGCATGTGAAGCCAATCCAGGCGAAGCATTTGGGTGTGGAGTTTGTACTTACCAGGCACAGACTCAAGCATCTGCTGAAGAGCTTCAGGGTCGAAGGGCCCTAGCTTCGGCTCCAGGAAACGGGCCACGCAGCTCACAACGACAGGAATGTCCTTGGCATTCTGCATGGCGAAGTTTAACCTGACGATTTGTATCTCCTGCATGGAGCTCAAACGCACAATGCTTTTGTTCCATCTGGCCTTAGCTCCAGCGACTCCACGTGCTGCTTTAGCACGTTCTTCCGGAACTTCTTCAGCACCGTCTGCTGACCCCTCTGCCTCTGCCGCCTCTGCCTCTGCCGGTTCCAGTTCCTGAGCCGCCTGAGGCTGAGCTGAGGGGGTACGGGATACCTGAACGTGCAAGCCTGCCATCATGCTCCCCGGCATCCACAGATTCAGTGGTGTGGCCACTGCCTGTGTCTGAGACAGAACGGCCAGGCCCCGTGGGACCTGCACCAACCACCCTTTCTCCCGCTTCAACTCTGGGAGCAAATCTCCCCCAGAAGGACAAGCCATCAAGTGTTGCCCTGGCTCTTCACTCAAAAGCTTGTACACCTCATAGGTCGGACGATACACACGCTGCAACTGCCTGCCTTGAAACTGCTCCCGTTTCAATCGCACCGGCGACCGGAGCAGAAAGCAACGATCCAGCACGAAACAAAAAACCTCTTTCTGAGCTTGCCTATCACGGTCACGCTTCCTCTGTCTTTGGCCGTAGCCGCTCCAAAGCTGGATTTCATGAAGCTCTGCTGGGGTCGCATTGCTCCAATTCTCAAACACATCTGTGGCACGGCACAGATGTGTGATCTCAGCATGCTCACTTTCCTTCACAAGCACTGTATACAGCACCAGCCATTGGGGCAGCGGGCAGCTTGTTTCTGGCAGCCCTCGAACCGTGGCGGCCAAGGCCACCGTCGCCGGTGTCAAAACTTTCCGGCAAACTGAAAACGTTACTTTCCATGAGCTGTGAGCTGCTCGATCCCTACGCAACGTTACTTTCCATGAGCTGCTCTATCCCTAAGCTGACTTTTGTACAACGCATGTGCATCATGTGGTCGTCGCAGTATGGTTCTGATTGTTCTGAGAGGGTTACAGTCAGCTTCCCAGAATTCCCCAAGATTACCAATTTAAGCACGTGGACACTTAGTACTGTCTTGCTTCACTTTTGAATTTGGGACGTCACACAAGCTGTGTGAGCCAAAAATGCAGAGTATGCACGGTGGGGGAAGGCCAGGGGAGGGGCCCCGTCGGTAGATTTGACTTGAGAAAAATCTAAGGGACTCAAAACCTCGATTTCACACGTTTCAGAAATCAATGTTCCAAATCGATCAAATCTGATGGTTGAGGCTGAACCTAGGCCGAACCCCGTCGGCTGGGCCCTGACCCGGGCTCCAGAGCAAACACCATACCACCCCCCAGAGCTCGCCATACCGTTAAGCACAGAAGCCAAACAATCCCAGAAAGGCAGCGGCAAGGCCAAAAGTTCAGAGCGTCGCCATCCATCGGCACCGCACGCTGAACGAACAGGCGTTTGCTGCACCGCAGCACGGAGTTGTGACCCAGTCATGCTCAACAAATCAAGCGATGCAAGATTTTCCAGATCGAATCTCGGCATCAGTGCGCCCTTGCACCTGCCATCAGCAGGGCATTCATCAGCGGACTTACGAAGAATCGGATGCCAGTGCGTTTCGATACGTTTGAAACAAGCCTGAGTGTCAGGAATCGATTGCCAATTAGCATGTTTGGCTTTGGCCCAAATGAACCGATCAGCCTGAGAGAATTTCAGGCGTTCACGCCAATCATGAACAGCATGATACCTGTGCTTCTTATTGCGGCGCTCAATTTCAGCCCGCACCCAGCTCAACCAATGATACACGACATCCCTTATGCCAGTCCGGGGCTAACCGGGTCCTTTCCGTTATGGAACCGGGTCCTAGGATTTATGTTGCTGACATGAGTGACATGTAAGAACACGTGTATATAGGACATGTGTTGCTGACATGATGGACATGTAAGAACACGTGTATATAGGACACGTGTTGCTGACATTATGGACATGCAAGAACACGTGTGATGGACATGTAAGAACACGTGTATATAGGACACTTGTTGCTGACATGATGGACATGTCAGAACACGTGTATATAGGACACGGAAAGCAACATGTCTGATGTCGTGCTGAAGGGGGGGGGGCAGGACGGAAAACAAATGCAACTACTGCAGCAACATTGGGCCTACGTCATGTGTGTTCTTGTGGCTCTATGGAAAGAGCGAGATGCTGGCCATGTATAAAAAGATGTGTGCTTGTGGCTCAATAGAAAAATCAATGCCTGAAAAACTTGGTTTGTTCGAAATGTGAAAACATGTACATCGAAAAATCAAAGCCATACTGACATAATTGCCTGTCCCAATTTTTGTAGTTCACATGGAATTTCTTTGTTGCAAGATATTTTTGAAGTTATTTTGAAGATTCGTTTGTGCCGAGCAAACCAAACAAATGCAACTTGGTGTTCTTGTGGCTCAACGAAAACAAGAAGCTTGAGATTTTGTGTTCTGAAACCCTAAAGTCAGCTTTTTGTACGATTCACAACGACTTGAAAAATAGTGTGTGTGTGTTCATGATTAAACATGAAGGGAATCTAAGCTTTCGTAACGTCCAGCTCATGCCCTAAACCCTGGACCCTAAACTGTAATCCCACCCAACCCCCAACCCCGCCCACCCACTCCTGCAGGTAGGTATAGATAAGTAGATAGGCAGGAGGGAGGTACTTGTAGGTCTAGGTGCACCGGCAGGCTTCCAGGTCTCTAGATAGCTAGGTAGGCGGGCATGTAGGTAAGGAGGCATTGATCAGGAAAGAAGTTTAAAGGTAGCAGGCAAAAGTAGTTGTAATTAGGCATTCGCGCAGGCTCTGTCAGGATGTCAGGTCGCCACATCAGAGGGCTTCGGAGCCCCGTGCAGGGGCGTACCCGCACCAAGCCCTTGAAGGGGCTGCGGGATGAACCCCGAATAGGGGTGAGCTTGGACCCCGAACAGGGGTCGTCGGAGCCCAGTACAGGGGTGTGGATGAACCCCGAAAAGGGGTGAGCCTGGACCCCGAACAGGGGTCGTGAGAACCCCGTGCAGGGGTGTGGATGAACCCCGAACAGGGGTGAGCTTGGACCCCGAACACGGTTCGTTAGAGCCCCGCACAGGGGCGTCCGATGAACCCCGAAAAGGGTGAGCCTGGACCCTGAACAGGGGTCGTGAGAACCCCATGCAGGGGTGTGGATGAACCCCGAACAGGGTGAGGATGAACCCCGAGCAGGGGTGAGCCGGATCCTCAAAGACAGATGCAGAGAGAAAGAAAGAGAGAGAGAGAGAGAGAGAGAGACAGCGAAAATAATTAACGAAGCAAGGAAGGAAGCAAGGAAGGAAGGAAGGAAGCAGGGAAGGAAGCAGGGAAGGAAGCAGGGAAGGAAGAAGGAATGATCAAGATGAGGGTGTGACTGTAGATGCGAGCAATGAGCAGGCAGCAAGGAGTGATGTGAGGGAAGGAAGAGGCAGGAAAGTCATGCATGGATTCAGTATCTCTCTGCTCACTTTCCGTCTGTCGCCGGCCAACCAGGCTGAGACAGTCTGCGCAGCGAGATCCTCGAAGAGCCCCGGCCTAAGCCACACCAAGACTTGACTGCTGCACCGTCGGTTGCTTCCAAGCTCAACATGTTGGACTGCAGCAGCTTTTCATCTCAAGATTCAAGGAAATCGCACCGTTTTTTTCTTGGCGCCACTAGCGCCATGACTGAGCAAGTGTACACCGAAGCGGAATGGGCGGCTTGGCGTCGAAGTCAAAACCCTGCAGGAAGCCACGACGACACAGAGACGGACCCAACGAAGCAAGGCTTAACAAAGGAACTCCGACCCCTTCCGGATGAATGGAAAGTTGAGTGGAAGAAAGCTGAGAAGAACAAGCAGCACTCAGCCAATGACTTCAGCGGTATCAGGCGCCTCTGCAACAGAAGGTTGCAACAGATGTACAACCAATGGAAGAATGAGGTGGAGCACACGGAGAAGCAGGATTCGGCTATCAACAAGCTCGCCATCATGACGCATAACAAGGACCGCATGGAAATCGATCGCTTGAGGGAGGTTGAGAAGGAAGCGATTTGGACGAAGAAAATGTACGAGGCGAAGATTGCGGACGACAATAAGAAGCACGAGGCCGAACTGGCAGCTGTAAAGAAGAAAGGCGAGGACATGCTGGACGAACTGGAGAACACGCATGAGAGAAACAACCAGGAAAGGGCTAAGAGGCTGTCCATCACGGAAGATACGTACAGGTACAAGTTCGAGGATAGCCAGAAGGAGATGAAGGTACTGACTGCCATGTATGAGAACAAAATCAAAGAGATGAACGACGAGCACCAGGCACAGATGGCGAAAGAGAAAGAAGAGAACAAGAAAAAGTTCGACGAGAAGGTTTCCAAAGCCAAGACGGACATGACAAACAAGTTCAAGAGCAGGTTGAAGAGGCTCGAGGATGCACAGGTCAAGTACAAAGAGAAAGTCCTCACTGCAACGGGGCTTTGGAGACAGACACTGGCAAGGAAAGAGGATGAGGTCCTGCGGCTCCGGCTACGACTCCGCTTGCAGGAACACGCGAGCTCGGCGCAGCAAGACAACGAAGAGAAGCTCAAGGACAGTAAGGCTTGGCCCGACAGTTCATTTGTCAGTTGTTCAGTCAGTGAAATGCGCATCTCTGACAGGAGAGTTTGCATCCCACGTCCCCGACGGTCGTCTTCACCCCGACCTCTCCCGCACGCAGCCCGAGCCTTGGTTTCATCACCGCAACCTTGTGCGACCCCAACTTCGCACGTTCCAGGTAGTGACGAGTCCGACGCTGACTTCGATCGGGAAGGAAAGCGATCCCGCTCGCCCAGATCCGACAGGACGGATTATCGCAGTAAGCAGTGAGACGGAATAACGGATTTCATAACGTAGCTGATGGCTCTGATCGTGACATCCCCATGGATTCGAGTCTTAACCAAAACAATCTGACATCTAGTGATTCTGAATCCGCTTACAGTTTCAAGAACACGACGAACTACATGGTTGATGCGGCGGCACAGGGGCATGGGCCCGGTGGCCGTGTGAAGTTCCTAGAAAGACTTAGGACTTCTGACTGGATGGGTCATGAAGCCAAGAGCAGCATCGGAAAAAGTCGCATGCATCAGGGACCATTCCTGCATGACAACCCCGCCCCCCCCCCCAAACCACCCACCACGAACCGGTCCCCCAACCAATTCCCGCACCCCTGATTCACACCCACCCACCGTCACCCAGCCACCTAACCGCCCCACCCATCCATCAACCACCCACCGAGAAACCCACCCACCCCCCCAACCCCCCTGTGCTGGGCGGCCTGTTCGGTGCTTGCACTTAAGTGACAGACACTTCTTAAACACGGTGGGTGGTGATGTCTCTGACACGAAAGGTCAACGTATTCCTCGAGACCTACAAGCAGGACCCGACTGCCACATGGAAGATCCGCAACAGCAAGAGCGACATTGTCGCTCTTGCTGTTGCGGATGTGTGGGGCAGGTCGAAAGCGACACGACCTGCACTAAGGTGCAAGAAGGCCTTGACGGTGGCTACATCATCCCAGAAGGTTCATGGTGCAGGACTGGTAGGTACCCGCTCCTGCACCTTGAACCTACGGGGATGATAAAGGGGACATGCTGACTGGAGGCTGGGAAGTGGCACGTCTTGAGCTCGGCGGTGATGTCTCTAGCACGAAAGGCCTACGTACTCCTCACCTAGAAGCGCGACGGACGAGCACACCAACATGCTCACTGGAGGCTGGGCAGTGGCACTTTTAAGCTCGGTGCTTCAGACGGACATGACAGTTTCAGGAACAGTGCGGCATGTGCAGTCCATGGCTGTGTGATGCTGTGAGTGTGCGCGCGTCTGACAGCAGAACTATC